CCCCATTCCCCCCCCCCCAACTCCTTCCAGCTTCCCGGCTTCTGCTCAGGCTTTTGCTGAGGGTTCCCCTACTTTCCATTATTTATTGTTTACAAACAACTCGCTCCCTCCTGGTAATGAGGCCCGGCGGAGGGAGGGGCGCGAGGCAAGGGCGTCTGAGGGCTCGGGGAGCAGGAATCCAGATGCAAGGTGGCATTTAGCATCCTTTCCTCGCCCCCTCCCCGTGGCCCCGGCCTGGCGACTGTGAGCGCTTAGCGGGCTGGGGAGGAAGACACCAGGTCATCCCAGCCGCCAGCGCCTGGGGACTCTGGCAGCGCCGCGTCTCCAGACCTGACAGCCACAGAGCCTTCCCCCAGACTCGGCCACAGCTCGCTGGAAACAGCGCCCTGAACGCGCCACCGTTCTTCCTAGGAGCCACTTGCTCTCGCTGAAAGCGGGGCAGGCACAAACACTCCGTGGGGGGCCCAGGGGGAGGGCTTTCAGGGGCCTCCTTTGATTCTCAGGCGCTGTTGTTTTCCTTTCCAGGACCAGAGCGTGAACAGGCGCTCCTGCCCCACCGGCCTCTCCCGGAGAGCGCCCAGCTCCCCGATCCTGAAACCCAGCTCACGGGCTCCACTTTCCCAGGCGTCTGAACACTGATCCTGCGCTTCCTGCTCCTCCCAGGCCCGGCACCCCGGTTTGGGGAAGCTTGGGGCTGCTGGTGGCTCACCCAGGCCCCGTAAACCAATTCTGTAGGCAGGGTCAGCGCGCACCCGACATCCTGCTGACAGCCTGCCCAAAATGGGGTACTTCCTGGGCCGTCTTTGTCCCACAGATAATACCTATTCAGGTGTTACCAAGTGCCCTTCACTAAAAGGCCAAGCCTTGAGACGAGGCACCCGGTTTTTCCTCCAAGAGCAGATAGAGCAGGAGCGTCAGCACATCAGGTAACATCAGCTAAACGCACCTGCATAGACACGGAGTGCGAGCCCATGTCCCTCGAGGGGTCCCTGGTTCTAAATACACCCCTGAGCAGAACCCGCTGGAAACCCGGGTCAGGGCAGCAGCTGGGCTTTCATGAGGTGCCCCCACTGGCTTTCTGTATTCCAAAGGAGCCATGGATGAGGGGACCTGAGGATGGTTAGTCCCAAATGTTAAAGGCCTGCTGGTCGCTCTTGCCCTGGGCTGTTGCCTGCTGTTAGATCCTTGGAGGGCCCCTGGGGAGACAAGCCCCTCCCTGACCTTCTCCCGCTCCCGGTGGGACTTTCGCCCCTGCCGCTTGCTGAGCCCAGGCACTCTCGGTTCCCGCAGGGCCCCCCGGTCCCTCCCGCACCCAGAGCAGCGGTGGACTAGGGGTGGCGGAGGGCGCTAGTTCGGCGAAGTTGACCCTAGGAGAGGGCGGAGGAGGGAGCACGCCGCAGTAGGCGAGGGCCTTCTTTTCTGAGGCGCAGGGCCGAGGCTTGGGGCGCCTGTGCCCGCCCACTGCTCTCGGGCACCCAGGCGGGGTGAGGGGCTAGGAGGCGTTCTGGATGTCGAAGGCGCCACACGAGCGAACCCTGGGGTTGGCAGGCCATTTCTTCCCAGCCAGTCCTCTGGGGTCTCCCGCAA